CCGGAATGACGGGGAAAGGGCCTACCTCTACGAGGCGTCCGGGCCTACAGCGATGAAGTGGGTAAAGAGCGATAATCCCGCTCGACCCCGCTCCATCTAAGGTCATTTTTCCTGCCAAGGATATTGGCGCGCGGAGTTGAACCGAGTTGAGCCAGTGCGTGAACAAGGAATCCGGTTTTGTTTAGTTTTGCGTTCACCTTTTTTTGTCTTTATTATTTGCTCTTAGTTGGCGACGTAGCGACCCGTCCAGCTATTAGTTTTCTAAATCATTACTCGTTTTAACATTTAAACCCTTAATCCAATCAACAATACGACGACTTCATAACTTATAAATCTCAGTGCAACTTCAATCACCATTAGTAACGTAGCGACCCGTCCAGCTATTAGTTTTCTAAATCATTACTCGTTTTAACATTTAAACTCTTAATCTAATCACCAGTACGACGAATCTACAAACCTACGAACTTTAGTGCAACAATTACGATATCCAGCATCTTTACAAATCTACAAATCAAAAAATCCTCGTTAAATTCATTTACAACATTACAACGTACAACATACAATCATTCTACGAAAGTGCTACGTCACGCTTTCATGTAAATAGCGTCCTTCTTCTGTCTCCGAAATTTGAGAATCAGTGTGTTAAAGCCATAAATACAGTGTTTCATTCCTACAATCCTTGTTGTCCTTTCCTAAGTGAAGTGAAGTGCAAAAAACTTGGATTACACGAAACATTGCTGTACTATAAGCTACCAGATTCAACCCGAGATCAGAGACCAGCCTACAAGATAAGCCGACACAAGGTAAGTGGCTTTACTTGTCAGTTTTACTCGTCAGTTTTTCTTGTCAATGTTTTAACTTTACCGTATTTTCATATTTGTGTCCTACAAATCTCTACTTTCGTTCTAAGCACACATTATTTTGATATCCAAGATATCATGGCGCCCTGGCATTTATAAACATTCCCTGACGTTCATAAACATTCATAAACATTCATTTATTACATTTATAACAAATTTTATTAACCTTTTTTACATTTTACATTGATATTTTGAATTTCACCTAACCTTAACGTTAACTTGCATTTTTCAACTTAAATCTACTTTTTTGACAAAGAATAGCTAGAATATACGTATTTAGTCATTTTTCTTTATTTGAGATAAAATCTGAGATAGAGTTTCAAGCTAGCCGAGGCAAACAAAAAACCCATTGTTAACATGGCGCCCAACGTGGGGCCCGATCACGAACCTTATATTAAGTGAAATATACGTCGAACTCACGTACTCAAATAAACATTTGTCTCACATTTCATACACACATTTTTATATACCTAGTTTTGTAAAAGATGCTGAAAGTTGGAGAAGAAAATTACATAATTGTAGACAATCTTTCTAGTCAAGAATCCGAGTCAAGTTACGAAAACTTTAAATTGAATCCAAAAACGGAAAATTTCACAAATATTTGCGAAAATACTTCAAATTCTCATACAATTTTAACTTCCACTGTAACCATGAATGACAGGTCAGTCACTGAAGAAGCTCTTTTTAGAATTACCAGCGAATTTACTAATGTTTTAGCCAATATTACAGATCAATTTTCACGCTTAAGAACAGAAAAACGTATTATTCCTCCCACATGTACATTTTCAGGTTTAGATCACGAAGATCCTGAATGGTTTTTAGAAAAACTTAGTAACTTACATATTTTAGTCAATCACAGATCACGGAAGATTCCGAAAACGTGTTCATCTGAGCTTAGGTCGTTTGCCTTAACGTTAAGCTTTTATTCAACAGATGCAAGATTATGCAAGAAGTTTTAACATGGCTTTGTCACATACAAAAACAATTTCTAAGTGGTACAGATCAACGAATTCTTTTTTTTCTTTTCTTAGGCAACAAACATATGTTTTATTATTAATTAAGAATATATTGTTAGGTTAAGATAAAGATTTTAAATACTGCTTTGTAGTGGTTGAATGTTTTACGATACCACTTGTTTTCCTAGTGATAAATGTTTTTTAATACTGCTTTATCACAATGTGTTTGAAGCTCACTTTAGGTATTTAGATGTGTGTAATGTACTTTTATTGTAACCTGTAATTGGGCCTTGTACATGTTAGTTGGGTGAATAAATAAATTAATAAATAATTTTTTATCCGTGTCAAAATATATCCCCTACGCCACTGCCATTGTGTCTCTTTGGGTATACGTAAATATACTCTGTCTCTATCCAATTAGTAGTTCTTTATCTAGATGCTGGCTACAACTGAACGTAAGGTATTATTTTCACAAAGCTCCTTCTAGGGGTTAGAATTCGTTGGTCTCAATGAACTTGGGGAAAAAACTTTTTTTGGTTTTCATTTTTTTACGTGCAAATGGTGCGTCGTACGAGAGTAAGTCTAGGGACCGAATTTGCTGTAATTTTAGTTTTTAGAAAAAGCAGTGGCGTGCCATTTTTTCTTCACAAATGTTTAGTTCAAACCTCGTACGGACGTCATTGGCAAAGATTTTAAAACATTTTTTACATCAAACAATGCTCCTTAATGATTAATAGGTGTGTACAAAATTTCATACAAATATCTGGAGTGATAAGAAAATTATAATAAAAAAGTAAATTTATTCTTAAAACTGTAACACCCTGTAGCTCAAAAATTAAGAGGTTTAGGACATATGTTGATATTAAGTTTTCTTCAACAAATAGGACCTCTTCAGTCCCCCCGTATCACATTTGATACGTTAGGTAACATTTTTCTTTTATAAAAAGAATCACTAATTTTATGTTCAGACCTACTATATCATATAATATATGTTGTAAACAACGCCATCTATGCGGAAACAGTGACACTAATCACAATAGTTGAAATTTAGAGCATTGCAAACATGGCGACTACCTCCAGAAATAGAATTCTATCTTCAAATAAAGGTAAGGCAGTGTTTTTATTGGGATATAATTTATCTTATAAGAAATAAATATAATGTACACTTATTTTTATATGCCAAGTGGCAAATTTTATATAAAAAAAATTATGTTTACCTTGTACACATACTTTTATTTCACGCATCAAGTAATATACATTAGGACTCTACAACATGGTTGCCTATAAGTGCAGTTTTTTGTTATGTATCAAATAGTATACATTGGGACTATAACGTTGCAATTAGTTAAGGAAGAATAATTTATATTTCAGGATTGTCTCATCAGCAACTATAACGGCCGATGAACCATGGGGAGTTTCCGACCCTGTATATCGGAATAATAGCCCAAATATTGAAATTAGTATGTTATATGAATTGCATTCAATTCAACGTAAAACTCATCTCTCGGAGGCAACTCGTTTTTATTCAGTTTATTAATATTTGTTAAAAGACTGTATGGAAAAACACCTTTTTGCCGAGTTAAGTTGGAATGCTCCTGATCCGGGAAATACTTAACGGCATGGGGGTGAAACTAGAATGGGGATATTAGCAACGTGACATCACTTCCGGCCTGACAGGTTGTTGTGATTGGTGGCTGACAGCCTGCTGGATGACGATTGGACCCTGACAGATTTATTTAGTTAACCATTGGTTCTTATCAAATTTGCCGCAAAATATTCGTAAATCGGAAACAGCGCGATCCAGAATTTCTGTCATCTGTCGGAAATATGTCGGTTTTGTTTTGGTGTGAATTTTAGGGTAAGTTGTGTAAAATTAAATTTTGATTATTATTTCTATGTTTATTATCTAGATTATCCAACTTTTGAAAATAATAAATGAAATTTTTAGAAATGCATTTGTTTATATATTTCATATTAGGAAGAAAAACATTAATACCTGTTTATACTTCCATTTATATACGTAAAAAATACGTTGTATTAACTTTCAGTAATTTTCTTCTCACGCAAAATATATTAATCATTTGTTAATAAAATATATTACGGTATTGAAATGACAATCCATTTAGTGTGATTTGTTTTAATTTAGTTCAAACATTTGAGAATACAAAAATATAATTTTAATAAAACTTAAATGGAAGTATGTTTAACAAATGTGATAGTAATGAAATTAAAATCTTCGTTTTAACAATAATTTAAAGAAACTTATTTACAGATATTTATAATTACCACGTTCATCAGCGATTAGATTAAAATAGAAAAGAAGTGGAATATGGTACACTGTATTGTATCACGGCTACCCAAGGGTGTGAAGTAGAATTGGAATGTAAGCAGTGCAATGTCCAGCCTCGCTTCCAACCTTTGGTTCTTGACAATTCATTAGACAGTAATTAGTTCCTGACAAATTGTTTATCATCACATAGCTGGAGTAGTTTTCCAGGAGTAGTACAGCGATTAGTTTCTATCGTCTGACTTAAATTTGTTTTACTGTGATGGCAAGAATGCAAATTATAAGGTAAGTTTTATATCATTTATTATATATGGCAAGCACTCGGGCAAGCACCAAAGCGATTGTTTCTAAATGATAATAAACTTTTTTAGAAATAAATTGTAATTTTAAATAATTTACATTAGATTCAAAGCAACCAACACCGTTAGTTTCATGCATTTACGTACTACAAAATACATTATATAATAATTAACATAAGAACGCATAAAGTAATGGACATTTTTTTTTTAGGTTGGCTCGAGTTGTAATCTAGACAAAAATTCTCTAAGACAGACAGTTATTGATACATATGCTATATGAACTTGCAAGATACACAATTCAAGGCTGTTCTAAAAAATATTTACAGAGTATTGCTGGAAAGAATACCATAAAGTTGGAAGACCTAACGAGAAGGCTAACATAGTTAATATTTTGGTGAGTATTAATAATTATTACTGATCTGATGCATACAATTTATTATCCACTTAAATATATTTGATAAAGAAAAATATGTTTATGTTTTATATTCTGCAATAATTTGCAATATTTTTCTGATGGAATAAACTCCAAAGTAATATATGTAATTATTTACTAATGCAAGCATCTTTGTAGATACTGTTTTCAAGTGCAATATTTAAGAGAAGCAAAATATGAAGAATTATTAGCAGGAAACTGAAAAATTTAAGAAAGAACATGTTCACTGAATGATAAAACCTCTGTGTTTCAATATCATCTATGTTGTCGATTACCACAAAATGTGTTATATTTAAGATACGGTAGCTGTTGTAGAGCATAGTATCGATTTTAGTTAAACAGAGAAGAAAAACATATCAATAAATAATTCTTTCCTGCCTGCCAGAAATAATCAAGATTCTCTATCGACTTGATACTCGAAGTTCCAGACCAAATGTCTGGTAAGTTTATATCGTCGTTACGTCTTCAAAATGCGACGTGCATATTTTCAGTAAAACGCGTTAAGTTCTGCACATTCGATAAACAACATCAAAACGCATAATCTGTTAAAAAACAGCTATCTTATTTTTTACAGAATTGTGACTGTCTGCGGTAAAATAAAAAATAATTGTAATTCTTGAATAAAAAAGTCAAGAAACAGTTTCTTAACTCCACTGAACAATTTGATGAAGTTCACGTCATATTTTGAAGACAGCGACGAAATATTTTTCTTATTCAGTAATTTAAAATATTCTATAAAATTTGTGGTCAGTAAAAAAAATTCTCTTTTGCAGTATACTTGGCATTTGAAAAGAAAAACTTCCTTCTGAATGAAATATAATGGATATTAAGCAAATGAAATTTGTTGAAGTTCTTGAGATGTGGACATATGATGCATAAACAGAAATGTCCTAGTACGTATCTATGTTTAATTAGTAGTAAATACTTTTATAATCACTCTACTCTAATTGATAATCAATATCTATTGATGATTTTGAAAACGTTTTAAACAAATTTTTATAACTTATTTAATCCATATTTGTATTGTACATATTAATATTTTTAACTAAATCATATATTAAGTAAATAAACTTGATAGTGTTATATCTCTCTTTAATATATTTCTTCCATTTTTTTATCACCCTGAAATTGTTAGCGTAAAGTAATAAATAACTAAAAAAATAAAAAGTAAATATTGTTCAACTTTGTATAATAGGACCTCATTTCTGTATAACTACTGATAATTTGTTTTTAATTTTTTTTCAGTGAAGACTTTGGAGAACATTAAGAGAAAATTAATAATGGTTAGGAAATAAAATGTTTCAAAATGGAATACGAGAGTAGAAAGTGGTTGGCGATAACGTTTGGTATCCAAGTTGTATTGTATCTTTAAAAATATGATTATCACTATAAAATTACAATCTCTATATATCTATAATTCATGAGTAAAATTATAGAGAATAAAATTATTTTCTGTGGCTGTATTATATTTTCATATATAATGTTTGTTTTTACGTTAAAATTGTATATTTTAAAATGTTATATATTTATAAGAAAATAGCTGTACACACAAAATTACAAGGGAGGCATATCTTAATTTAAGGCTTGGTTTTTAAGGTGTTGACGAACATCGACAATGACAGCTAGTGATCGTTACCAGAATATATTACAATGAATTTAATTAAAGCGTTTTTTAATGCCGAATGTTAAATATCCATCACCGGGCAATCATTGCTGGGGTTCATCCGCACCATAAATCTAAGCATTTATTAACTGCCTACATTTGAATTATAACTATGTAAGCACTTAGGGAGTGTGACTTTGTTTAAGGGGTGAATTTGTGGGACAAGTGAAGTGAGATCCCGGAATATCACACGAGTTGCATAAAATCATATATCGTAAAGTATGTAATATCAAATGTGATTTTTTTCTAATTTTGACAAAAAATTAAAGCTTAGCTTTAATTCTCTTACTTCATAAATTTTAATTCAGTGAGATAAAATCTAAATTAGTTTTGAAATTCATTTTGAGAAAGATGTCAGTATAGAAAAATGTAATAATTAAAAATGTTTTCACACGATTGAGATTATTTTATTACTGTCAGATGCTTGACAAGCCCTATAAGTAGAATTTACCATGTAATAATTTGTAATGTTAACTATACACATGCAGAAAAAATCGTAGTTAATTGTTAACGTTTAAATTGTTTTGCAATTTTTAAATACATTTTCATGAAAACATTTTTCAATCGTGAAAAAAAATAAATATAAGATATGTCTCCTAAGTGTATAATAAATTCTCGGAAATTGAAAAAATTCTTGGTTTCACATTGTTTTTTCAAAGATTTCCTCGAATTTGTTATAAGGCATTTACCAACCTGTTGTTTAATCTCTTGAACGCTTATGATGTATTTAATTGGCATGAGCAAAGTCAATAAATAAATAGTGATTATGACGGATATATACGCTGCTAAATAATTTGTGTCTGCTTACGATGGAAAAGTTTGCTTGTGCATATCTATTATCTATGAAGATCGATAGCTACTAGTGTGGTATAAGTTGTTTTGTTCATAACGGTGTAGATCTTTGAACGGGAATATTATTGTATCTCATATGTTTCACGAGTTTTACATACATATTTATAACGATTTAGCAAATATATTAACTGAAATAGAGTCAGAACCGCTTGAGGTTATGTGTACATATTCAGGTATTGCTTGTCCCATTTTTCCGTTTACCGGTAACACGAGAATCCGAATTCCTTCTCTATATACTGATTGCAAGAATTATATGTATTTGCAACAATTTTAATATTATATTTGTTCTGTTTTTATTTTCTTAGAATTTAAATGCAGTATACTGTTTGTGACGACCACAATTCTATTGTAAACTGAATATGACGAATATGCTAGGGCAAAAAGGGATAACGCCAGCAAAGAGTGCACTTCTCGTAACGGATCAAGGCGTTCAAGAGGTTAATGTACTATGTAATTCATGTGTATTCTAACAATTTTGTTTGATTATGAACTCTCCCCGTGTTCATATAATTTACGTGTACCTATTTTTTCTATAACTTTTCATTAAAAATCGTTACATTTAAATATATTTTCAATAATACCTAGTAATTTTACCTATCTCAGCAGGTAGTATTTCTGACGCCAATAATTGATGTAATTTAAAGTAAACAAAATTGTGAATATGAATTTATTAAATTCATTGTTAATATCAGCATTTTTCAAATGTTTTGTTGGTATTATAACTGAATTTATGAACTCATATTTAATATCAATATTTTTACTTTAAAAATTATTTCGGTTATTTGTGACAGAAATATTACTTGCAATCCTTTATTACAAGCCACCCTGTATAATAAAAGCGAAATGACCCCGTCATTTATCATCAAGGCCGGCCTGCCATCGAAGGCCTTTTTAGTCCCCTGACGGCCGGTAGTTTCGCTACGGTTCTGTTTCTCTCTTTTTCTTAGGTGCTCCGTTTTCTTCTATTATATATTTTGTGCTTAACGGTTTGCTCTGATTAACATTTAAATTTGCAGCTAAATTTTCTAGAGATATTGATAAAAACTTGAAGCTATCGATAAATCTCATATTTAAATAAGATTTCTTCGTTTTGACATTGTTCCGGTTCAGATCTCTTAGAGACGCTATTTTGGCGATAAAACTTGATTTGAACATTTTCAACTTTCTGTTTACATTCGCGGAGACCCAAGGTTTCAAATACCCCGTGCAGAGAAAGATCAAGTCCTACCTTTCTAGTTCTCCGCTGTATTAATAGTTTGCACACTATCAGATTAAGAGTACAACACATTGTTCTATGTTCCAATGCCCTTCGATGCGCATGTATTTGAATCCCGGGTATCTCCTTGATACAACATTTAATTGTTTGAATATTATCTGATTGATCGCCATGATGTACTTTCAGCCATTTTATTATCGGTTCACTGGCACAAAAAGATTCCCTTTCATGTTTTCGACGCAAGTTATCACTACACGTAAAAGTTACGTACAGGCACTGAACAAATGCATATTTTCCTTTTTTAGTATACACGGTGTCTCTGAAATAAGTGCGTTCCTTGAAAAGGACGATAAAAGGAACGAAAATAAGCAACTTTTATTACGCTACTCAGAATGTTATTCACAAATGAATTTTCTACTTACTCCTTCTCGTTTATACAGGCTGGACCACCAGTAACGCCTCGGTCGCTAGGGACCAAACGGCAAATGTTACAGAAACCTGTTTAGGTGGGTATGTGTAGGTTGATTACGACTACATTTTAAAAATATTTTCAAATATACAGGGTGGCCAGGAAAAGCGTACCATATCAAAGTTATGTATTTTTAAGTGGAACATCATGTATTTTACTACATTTTTGAAAACACCGTAAAAAAATAGGTGAATTTTATTATAGGTTCTGCATACCTAGGACTTACAGTTTGTGAGATATTTGAATTTTAGTGAAAATGCAGGCTTAGCGTAGAAATTTAATTGCAATAAAAAAATAATTTTAAGGGAGCAGCTTTGGAGAGTGTATTTTAGATCCTTGAAGTTATAAATTATTATATTTGTCGACACTTAGTATTACACAGGGTGTTCAAAAAACTGCTGAATACTTCTCTCAACTTTAAACAGCAATAACTTGGTTATTTTAAATGGGACACCCAGTATATTTTTACTTTGGGAGTTAGAAAATTTAAAACTCTTTCAAACTGTGTATAGGTTCCCTATACCTATCTCTAACGGTATTGGAGATATTTGTACCATTTCGTTTTTTATCGATTTTTTTTCTGTAAGATGTATCCAAGTAATCGAGGAAATGAAGCACTGAACCTCCGAAATCTGTGCAGTAAGATGGATCGTGATGCGTTTTTTGCATTCGATTCGTTAGAGCGTCCAGAAAATTTGTGACCCTATGTGATCAATGAGAAATGAAAATTGCATCGGTGCATAAGAAAAATGCATTTTTAAAATTGCATCTCGAAGAGTTAAAACATGAATAATTTATAACTCGGAAAATATTGACGAAAATGAGTTCAATTTTGCTACTCGAGGGTTTTTGGGGTCGTTGAACACGAATATCATGACGGTAACGGTCTCCGAGGTACCTAGTGCCCAGGGTGGCCGGTTTCCACATCGTCTCCTGGAGTTTTGTGGAAATTCGTTAAAACTTAGTCGAAACTCGTTAGGTACCTCGGGGTTTTTGAGGTTTCTGTGACAACTATTTTATTCTTAATTAATTTTTATTATAAAAATACATTTTTCGTCGTGTTCTGCGACCCCAAAAACCCCCGAGTAGCAAAATTGAACTCATTTCAATATTTTCCAAGTTATAAATTTTTCATTTTTTAACTCTTCGAGATGCAATTTTAAAAATGCATTTTTCTTATGCACCGATGCAATTTTCATTTCTCATTGATCACATAAGGTCACAAACTTCCTGGACGCTCTGGACGAATCGAATGCAAAAAACCGCATCACGATCCATCTTACTGCACAGATTTTGGAGGTAAGGCCGTTTTTAGTGCTTTATTTCCTCGACTAACGTGTCTTTATCGAGGTCTTTATTGAATTGGTTTGGGTTCTTCTTGATGACGTCTCTTTAAATATATTGAGAAAAACGAGGATGCAATTAGATGGCGCACCTGCAAATTTTTCATATTCAGTAAGAAATTATTTAAATCGAAAATTTAGTAATAAATGGATAAGTAGGAATGGTACATGTCAGTGGCCACGTAGGTGTCCAGACCTCACCGTAATGGACTTCTTTGTTGCGAGCTATATAAAAAAAACCTTGTACACACCTACTACTTGCGATGATATTGGAAGGAAGGATTAGAGATGCATTTGCGTGAGAATATCATTTGAAGATAGAATAAGATGCTGTATTCAAGAGAATGGTTATCAATTCGAACATCAATTAAAATTTTTCTTTGTTTCTTCTAAAAGTAAAACTTTCTAATAAAAAATATTACTTATTTTATAAGTAAAATAATTATAAAAAGTTAATTTTGTATAAATATGTTTGTAGTAAGTAACTGAACATGAAAAATATTTATTAAAGAAAATTTTACTTTTAGAAGAAACAAAGAAAAATTTTAATAGATGTTCGAATTGATAACTATTCTCTTGAATGCAGCATCTTATTCTATCTTCAAATGATATTCTCACATTCATTAGAATATTTGGGGTGATTGTGGCAAATGCATCTCTAATCCTTCCCTTTATATCATTTGCAAGTAGTAGGTGGAACACTGTGTACAAGATTTTTTATATAGCCCGAAACAAAGAAGAACATTACGGGAGGTTTGAACACCTAAGTAGCCACCGGCATGGACCATTCTTACCTATTCATTCATAAATTTTCTATTTATATAATTTCTCACTGAATATGAAAAATGTGCAGGTGCGCCATCTAATTGCATTCACATTTTTCTCCTTATATTTAAAGAGACGTCATCAAGAAGAACCCAAACCAATTCAATAAAGACCTCGATAAAAAACACGTGGATACATCTTACAAAAAAAATCGATAAAAAACGAAACGGCACAAATACCTCCAGTACCGTTAGAGATAGGTATAGGGAACCTATACACAGTTTGAAAGAGTTTTAAATTTCCTAACTCCCAAAGTAAAAATATACTGGGTGTCCCATTTAAAATAAACAAGTTATTGCTGTTTAAAGTTGAGAGAAGTATTCAGCAGTTTTTTGAACACCCTGTATAATACTAAGTGACGACAAATATAATAATTTATAACTTTCCACATACACATACACTCTCCAAAGCTGCTTCCTTAAAATTAATTTTTTATTGCAAATATAAAATTTCTCCGCTAAGCCTGCATTTTCACTAAAATTCAAATATCTCACAAACTGTAAGTCCTAGGTATGCAGAACTTTTAATAAAATTCACCTATTTTTTACGGTGATTTAAAAAATGCTGTAAAATACAGGGTGTTCCATTTAAAAACACATAACTTTGATATGGTACGCTTTTCCTGGTCACCCTGTATATTTCAAAATATTTTTAAAATGTAGCCATAATCAACCTCCACATACCCACCTAAACAGGTTTCTGTAACATTTGCCGTTTGGTCCCTAGTGACCGAGGCGTTACTGGTGGCCCACCCTGTATGTATATCCTTTACACATAACATAGGTCAAATGAATGTCACCATAAGATGTGATATTTTTAGTCTTTCACACAACATAGGTTACTCAAGACGTCACTCTCATGCTATCTGTAACATTTAACTAGACATATGCCAAATGAACGTCATCATGATATGTGACATTTTCCGTCTTTTACATACCAGACAAAGATTATTGTAAAGATATTTACTTAAAGGTCACACAAGGTGACACTGTCATGCAATATTTATCTATTGCATTTAACTAGACATAGGTCACCACAAGATGTGACATTATTTCGTCTTTCGCACACCAGACTATCATTACAAACTTATTAACTTAGAGGCCGCTCAAGCTGACACTCCCGGGCAATATTTATCTGGAACATTAAATTGGACATATGTTAAATGAAGGTCACGACATGATGTGATATTTCTCGATTTTTACACATCAAACAAAGATCATTATAAATTTATTAACTTAGAGGTCGTTCAAGGTCACACTTTCATGCAATATTTATCTATAGTATTGAATTGAATATATATCAAATGAAGGTCACCACATTATGTGACATTTTTCGGCTTTTACGCACTAAACAAAAATTTTTACAGACTGATTATCTAAGGCGACACTCTCATGCAATATTTATCTGCATTCAGCTAGACATAGATCGAATGAAGGTCACCTCCTCATGTAACATTCCTCACACATCAGACAAATGTCAGTTCCAGGTTAACTGCAGTGCTTGACTTGGGCAGAGGTTAAATGAAGGTCACCACCTTATGTGTATTTCGGCTTTCAGTCACCACGCAGATGATTTCAAGGGCGAAAGTGGAGGAAGGAGACTCACAACCGGCAAAAATACCCTACTAATGGTTAAATTTAATTAATCCATAAAATTAATTAAGCATTAAAAAAACAGTAGTACTCTCTAAAAACGAATTTGAAAAAAGTTTATTAAATTATACAATTTTACCTTGCTTGCAATGCACAGATAGGATCTATTTCTGTTACATAAACCACACAGCCAAATCCTTTTAAAGCTTGAGAACATCCTTTTCCGACTTCACCATAACCGCAAATTACAACCTGCTTTCCACCAAACATTACGTCTGTAGAACGTTTCAAACTAAAAACAATCATCTTATATATTTCAATGATTCATAGTCATTACGATTATTACCTGTCAATAATTGATTCACGGCAACTATATAAATTATCATATTTAGTCTTAGTTACAGAGTCATTGACGTTCATAGCAGGAACAGTAAGTTTTCCACCTTTAGATAACTGATACAAACGATGTACGCCCGTCACACTTTCTTCTACTATACCTGAGGTTAATCTTTGTAAATTATGACCATAGTGCTAAAAAATTTTTAGTTTATTACCACTTACCTTTTATTAGTTTAAACATTGCAGGATATTTTTTTAACATAAGATGTGTAGCGTCTCCTCCGTCGTCTAATATCATATTGGGTTGCCAATTTTCAGCATTCACACATTTATCTATACACCACCAAAAATCTTCCTCTGTCTCGCCACGCCATGCGAATATAGGATATCCAGCTTCTGCAAGTGCAGCTGCCACTTCATTCTTGAAACAAATATAATTAAAACATTTTCATAAAACGGAAATTATCATGGATATGTGCTCCAACATTCTATGAAAAGCATTTATTTACAAAAAAATGTTCATTAAGGCCTTCAATTTAACATATATCAAAATCGCACTTTGGATTGAAATTAACACAACACAAAAAATGGACCTCAATGACGTATTATCCAAATTTTAAACTACATCATAAATTGAGAATAGGTAAAAAAATATAGAATCTATATTTTTCATTTGGATCACACGTCAGTCTTAAACAGAATTAAATATGCGTTGTGATGACATTGAGCGAAAATCCAATCAATCAAATCCAATGCAGATGTAGGAGTAATTTTGCAGTGGCAACAAGTCCACATCAGCAACACTGCTTTCTCATTTTTTGGCGCAATTCTTTCAGTGTTGTCAGGTTGCCAACTGATAAACATAAACAAGGCTAACAGCTAGAATTTGTTATAATAAAATATTGTCTAGATGCAAATTAAATAATGCAAAATATTACTTTAGAAGTTCAGATATTAGTAATTACTGGTTTATAAATTAAAAACTTTTTTGGCAAATATCGATAGATCCATAAATATTAATCGAATTTGTAGTTATCAAAATTTGTTGACTGGTTTTAATTAGTAGTTCACTTTTACAAGAATCTTGCACAAAAATTAGCTAATTTGTGACAAATCGCCCAATCTATCAGTGACAGTTTCCTCTCATTTCCTTCAGTTATCGATAAGACTGTAGCAACCTCTAGTGAAGAACTCGGAATCATTGCATTTATAGAACCCTTTCTTAAAAATCAATGCAGAAATGGCTAATAGTTTTGCCCTCCATCAGTGTGCTACCAGACATTTAGTGATTTTTCCAATTTTCCTCTAGTAACGTCATATAATTAATATAAAATTTAAAATATAAATAAGAAAAAAATGCTGATTTAAATTAGCTAACTCCTTCACAAAATATGTAAATATAAAAAAATATATTTTTAATAAATAAATATTTCTATTTTCTTTGCAGTTAAAGAAAGTTTTTTTTAACACCATTGTAAAGTTGGTTTTCTCGTAAATGACTAATCCCATTTACATTTTTCTTTAATTATAGGTATATTACACGGGTAAGACCCTAGCATAAAAATTTTTATTGAAAAACTCAGATTTCAGCATATACAGGGTGATTTCTAAGTCTGTAGCAATTTTTTGTAATAGCTGTAGGACAGGAAAATCAAATAAAGGTTTTTTTAAAGAAATTTAAAAATAACGGAAAAACAGCAACAGTTTAAAACAAATCAAGTTCTGTTCAAAATACGAAAATAATCACGTTTTTATTCTCCACTACGTTATCAGTTCTGCGTTTGTTGTAAAATCGTATAAAATGTTCTAAATTAGATGTGTGTCTACATGATTATTTTTGTGGATTGTTTGTCAAAATTATTGCTTATGACAATAGTTTACATGAATTACGGGAATTGTGATTAAAACACCACGGTGGCATCGCGAGTGTACACCGAACCCACTCTCCAAAGAATCGTAATGTTTAGCGCAAGGAACAAATTTTAGATTTAGTACATGGAGATCAATGACAATGTCACGTGAAATTGCTTTCAGGTTAAAAAAAGCCAGAGGAAAATTTGAAGAACCAATCTTACCACGTCTAACGGGTTCAACCTTTGATACCATCAGATTATGCCCCCAGAATGAAATTTAGAGCCTACAATGAAAACATTTTAAGATCGAATTTGGTGATGGATGTTTACATGTAGTAGAATAAATACAATATACGTTTGGGCTGCAGAGAATATGTAAAAAGGACCTATTTTCAGGATTGCTTTTCTGTAAAGTGTAGGCATGGTAAGGAACATATTAATTTGATCATTTCTTTCACCAAACCAAATAAATGGTGACAACAACCTCAAATTGTAGCAACATAATCTCCTTGATTTTATAGAATATATATCTTTAAATGTAATGGTAATAGCAAAGTACGGCACCGATTATACATCAACAGTTTCGTAATTAGTGGGTGGAAGAAAGTGGTAAAAACAAAAAAAAAATTTGTGACAAGAAAGAACAAACTAAATAACAAAGAAAATGAATCAATACTTCTAAATAACATCTTCACGTCAATAACTCATACTGGAAATCAGATGTTAGTCGTTTTTATTATATTTCATCACTTTCATTCATTTTTAACATTCAACAGTATGACTATACAATTACAGGATGAGAAGAAATAAAGATCCTCGGGTCCTTGCACCTCTAAGTTCAGATTCCTAAGACTATCGGGCATCTTAAGCGTTGATTGGGGATATGCAATCCATTAACTGCATCCTTCTCATGGTGATCCTGTCAAAACTAAATCCAATGGATCTTGACTGGAAAGAAATATCCTCGCACACAAGGCTGTGAATTACCATAGTTCGTGCTGGAGGGCACTGAGGCAAATGTATTGCGAACGGTACCCACCAGGCACCGGATTAAATCCTATTGTATTTAGCCTTACCTATATACGCGAGACTCTGTGGTGGACCATCACCCCGGTAGGTACTCATGGAAATAGTATAAAGAACACTAGCACTAACCCAAACTAAGATAAAGGAGAGCTACTGTCAAAGAATCAAATCAGCCAAAGAAACCTCTCGTCAAATCAGGCAGCAGCACCCTGTTCTAAAACGCCCAGTACTGTGGCATCTTAGAATCAGGCGATTTGAAACTGCAAGCAGAAGCAAGAAGGCAGGGGATGAGGCAATTATCCCTCCACATGAGACTATTGGTTGGACGGAAGGGCTTCTTTTTCCAACATGGAGTGTAAAGGGGTTCGTAAAGCGGGTGACACCCCTCCCTCTGCTCAGCAGGCTCTTAAAAAGTCCTGTTTTATAGCAGCATATAGCCAGACGGCGAATACGTCTTTGCGACTATCTTGGGGAAGTATTTATATATATATATATATATATAAAAATATGATGAACTATTTACTATTTCAGTCAAAAGTATTCTCTAACTGTGGATAATTTTTATATTTGTTAAAATGTTGATGCATATTTTCAATTTTACAAGACATGGAAATAAGAAAGGGACTTGTTTTTTTAATTGATTCGGTTTTATTTTGCCATACCTACACGCTTCAACTGTCAAATATTGTAACTTTAATGATTTTTAAGTTTACATGTAACATAAATTAAATGGGACTGGTAATTTTCTCTCTCTCTGTACACGTTCTGTGTCGTCGCTAACAGCAATAGCTTTATTGTCAACAAAAATTATCCATCATCGTCCACATTTGTGACCGAACATTAAAATGAAAGATAACAATAAGTTGGAATCGCGTTCTGCAGAGTAATTTTAGTTTTTTCGGCACTCACTGACTGACATTTAGAAATTCATTCAGGGAAAGTTGTTAATTCTATCGGAAAAAAAGAAAAAATAGGCAGCGAAAGCATAAACGAAATGAAAAACAACGATTCCTCTGGCGACTTGACGTTTGCGGTTGACGAGTTTCATTGGAAATCGGCCGTCGTCGCCGAAAGAAAACTTACCTTTTTCAGAGCGGCGGTCAGCAGTCCCTTCCATTTCGCCGAGTTTTCTTCGGAGCTGAAATCGTAGATGTTGTCCCCCGTCAGACCAGTATTCATATTTAACGTACGAAACAGGGATCGCACACTAGACGAAAACACACACAACCGCCATTGTCCGAAATACAACGGAAAACACAAATAAATTAAGGAAACACACCCCTAGCACTACATTCACGTCACGTTGCACATTTTCACTGTTTCCCAGTCTGCCCGATCGGTTGGTAACGGAAAATTCAAGCTCTTCAGGACGACCGTGGACAAAATATGATCAGTTGACGTTCGCCATGTTGGTTCCTCTATTAGCTATTCTTCTCCTACTTTTCCGTTTTTCTCGTGTCTGTCTGTCTTTTTTCACCGCACACAAAGCAACCACTGCGCAAGATGACGGTTGTTTTGTCCCGTTTTCTCTCGCCCGGTGACGTATATCACTCTTCTTTTTCTACGTATGCGTAAATAGTAACGAATATGAATATGCGCATTGTTCCGATTGACATGGACCCCGTCTTCTTCTTCCTCCTCTTCTAAAAGGCTTTCGCGACAGCCTTTGGCCATGTCCAGTAAGTCTATTTTTTCAAAATTTAAGTTTTATTTAATAGCTAATTGAAAACAAAATTTCTTAAATAAATCTAACTTAGAATAATATTCATGAAATTTGATTCATCAATCATAATATAAAAAATTGCATTTATTTTATTTTCAAGTGTATATATGGTTGCATACCATTCACTGTGTTAAAACTGCAAAATATTATTAAGGGTGATTTAAATTATACACAAACATAAAAGGATATTATATATTAATATTCTTTCAATAGGACTTTTTCAAAATAGGAGGCGCGAAATGCATTTTATCTCGGGTCGTGGTTTTTTAATTAAGAATCGTCTTTAAATTCCAAAAATCATGCGATTACGTTAGGAATATTAAAATAAACTCGATTTCTTCTTGAACAAGTTCAGCAACTTGCGATAACCTCAAATTTGACCCCATTCGTAAATTACAAAACGGTTTACAATGCTTAGCAGACTTGAATGGTCCCCTCGCCTATATTTAGTGGTTATTATTACAATACTAATATTTACTATAAATCTACGCTACGTTTGACGAAATTTATTGTTTATTTACTTGGATTATGAAGTGAAATCCAGCGTTAAAGTAAACATTGGAGCCAATTTTAATATCTAAATGTCGGGCGTGTAATCCAAATAGATTGAAGATTCCAAACAATCAAACAATAGTCTAATGCATTGTATTTGTCACTGTTGATGTTATCATATCGAACTGAGTTGTAGAAAAATTTATTTTCTTTATTTATTACTGTTTTATCGTCATAGACGTAATTTTTACCTTTTTCTAATCTCTGTGGGCTAATAATAGCCTCAGAATTTCTCAACATTTATTATGTCGTTTTGCAATTATACAT